TTAATATTAAGTAACTTAACCCTGGGCAAGTCTATCTACAGGGTGAGCCTGAGCTAAAGCAAAGTTAGGGAAAGACAGCTTTGATTCACGCCACGTGAAAGGCTACCAACAATCCCTTTTAATAGAGCTTGCAACATTAATGTAGCCAGAGCCACATGCGACACCCATTAGGGCCAGGGAGAGCTCCCACGCATATATTTCAAGGAAGCAGAAGAGTCCCTGGTCCCAGAAGCTGTCTTCATTACAAAAGTCTAATATATCAGACGAGAGAGAAAAGCTCGGCTTTTAGAATGCATTTTTTATTATTCAGCCTTCAGTGGAAATGTCACCTTTCTAAAGCAAGCTGTTATCATGTGTTTCCCATGCCAAACACATGGCCTCCAAGGAGAGGATTTTATCTCTACATTTTTAGCGATTTGTATTTCTCTTTCAAGGAGCTCCATGCCTTAAGGCACCCAAAATGCTCAGAGCACAAGAAGGTAAGGTTACACGAGATGCTGCCGAAGAGGATAAAAAATAACAGGTCTGGGAGCCGGCACAGCTTCCGACGGCAGCCACCCTACCCGATAATGCACCTCCTTTAGTAGATTTAATTATTATCCGCTTCCTTGGTTGGGACCATATTCTCAAAGAAGCAGGGCGCCCATCAAGCGCCGCCGCCGCATGACAGGCTGCGGCGCAGCCAGCACCACTGCCCCGGCGCCTGCCAACCAGCCAGATGCTGCCACATATTGGCATCTGGGGCCTGGAAAAGCAACCGCAGTCTCCGCTTGGCGGCGGATCCTGACCCCGACGACTGAAGGAGACAAAAGGAGGATAGATGGGAGAGGGGGGCGGAAATCTCTCCTGACAATTTCGCTGGTAGAGATTTAGACAAAAACCTATTGTTTAACTGCCCTCCAAATGAATAAGTTTCGGAGGGGGGAAAAAAACCCCACACCCGACATGTTCTAAATGCTGTCAGAGTCCAGGGTGCAAGGACAAGGGATTATTTATGAAAAGAAATAATGAGGAAACCAGATGCCTGCCTTTCTCAGCCCTCTGTGCTCCAGTCACCCTAACGGGGCATGTGCAGTGCTGCTCATCAAAGGCTTCTCAGCCTTAAAACGCAGGGCAGGCGCTAACTCTTCCCATCTCTGCTGCTTAGCAAAATGCCCTCCCTGTTTTACAAGGCAGGCTCACGCAGTCAGTCAGCAGCACAGCAACGGCTGAGGGAGAAGAGTGGCAGACCTCGTCCCAGCCAGGGACAGTAAGTGGATAGCCATGTTAATGGCACCTGCCAGAATAGCAAATAAATTAAAAAACAAACAAACAAAAAAGCACATTTCTCTAACACTGAGGCTGAAACTACATGGGCATGCTTAAAGTAGGAAAGCAAATAAGCTCTCTATATCTGTTTTCATGAAATTGGCTTCTCTCTGTAATTGAAGGGTAAGCTCCTGACCCCAGTAAAATCAATGGGAAAACTCCCAATGATGTTAATGGGGCTGGGACTTCACACTGTGCGCTTACTACACCCTAGAAAGCCAATTAGCTCAGGACTGTCTGCAACACCCCAGAGCACCTGCCAAGGTGCCTGCAAGGAGCCGGAGCAGCCAAGGTCCTTCTCATGGGAACTCACCTCTTGCTTTGCCTTAGTAGGTGTCAGCTTTGCTGGGCCTTGCAGGACACCATGAGAGACCAGGGGCTGGTCGCAGGGGACTTCTCTGAAGCCAAAGCAGACATAAGGCTGGAAAGGAAGGAGCCCAAGCGGGGCAGAATGGTGGGGAAGGATGTAAAAAAAATTTTAAAATCTGGAGAAAGGATATATGCCACTTGGCTCATGGTCCACATTGTTGAAGTAGCTCTTCTCCATGCCTGGTTCGTAAAGGAAGATTATGAGCTGGCAAATGTCAGACCACAATACGCAAGCAAGACCGCAAGCCGAGAGTAGCTAGCCAGCGCTGTGCTCTAAATCATGGCATAGCACCGGCCCCTCTCATAGAGGTTCCTTCGTTATCCCACCACTGCACGAGGTACCATAAAACTCTCGTTACTCACACGCTGCTGGGGTAAGCAATTTCCTAATGCTTTTACAACCCTCACACTTTAATTTTGTGGGAGTAATCCTCTCTCTTCGTTTTCATTGGTGCATGGGGATAACAGCTGCATCTAATAATCCACTCCTGGGTCGCAGTGTTTTGGGGCAGCATTTCAGAACCAAAGGCACAGAAAGGTCAAGAAAATCTGTGACTGAGGCTAAAGGATGTAACACAGAATAATGGATGGAGGCAGCTGAGCAAACCTCAAAAATACCCTGAGGGCAAGTGGCTCTGCTCATGAAAGGGAACAAGAAAAACTGGTAGAGGTGAGGTTGTACTGAGGCAAAAGGCTCCATCTCCAAGGCAAAGAAAAATGGGGCTTGCAAGGCTTTGCTGAAGAGGACCACTGACCACACAACATCTGCTCTTTCCTTGGCTGGCCAATCTTTATCCAGCCCCACCACTTGCCAATTGGCTTGTCTAGTTTATTACCCTCAAAAGGACTTTTCCCAAACTTGCCAACTTTAGGATCTCAGCAGCAACGCATCAAGGCAACTGCCCGCAGCCTTCCCGAGAGGACTCTAATTCCCCACTGCCCAGCCTTGCACACTTCCCCAGCCCTCCTGCCGTCACAGTGCCACTGCAGCCCCTCAGCAGCAGCTCTAATCCCTCCTGATGGGTCCCTGGGCCAAGAAGATGGAGACAGAGCTGCCTTTGGAGGAGGAGAGGCTTTGGTCTGCCAAGAGGCAGTGAGGTCCTGTTGGGGCAGCACATTAAGCTGTCCCCCGCTGCCGGGAGTCTGGAGCATCCTCCCTGCTGTGCCCTGATTAACCTCCTGGCAGCCTGCCCGACACTAGCAGGAGGTTGCACCACTTCCACTGCTTTGTCACCCAGAAGTTGGTATTTTCTTGAGGACACCTCACCTTTGGGCCAAGGCTCCCTGGCTCTGCTCCTGCAGATGGCTCAGGCAGCAACCAGTCTTCCACCAGCCCTGCAGCACAGGAGACAGACACGCACTGCCAGTCTAAAACCACTGCTGCCAGCAGCAGCTGCTCAGCACCTTTTAAGCAACTCCTGTTCCCCCTCTGGGAGTTGGCTCTACCACCCCCTTCCCAAAACGCAGCTGGAGCTGCAAAAGGCACCCTGCCTGAGCCGCTCAAGCATGCCCTACGCCCCGGCTGTGGCTTGCCAGCACCCCCGCTGCTGTTCAGCCAAGTCCCTCGCTCCCCCATCTTGCCCCCCCACACGCGTTCACGTAAGCAGGAGCTGCACCTCAGCCCCGTGACCTTGCTGAGGTGCGTGTCCTCCTGCAGCGCCATGAGCAACTCCCTCACGGGGCACAGCCCTGGAGGAGAGAACATATGGAGAGTCCTTAGTCACTCCAGGTGGCCAAAGCCCCAGGCCTGCGCTGCTCCTCGCTGCGCCCCAGCCTGCCATTTTGGTGGTGGGTACACGCTAAACAGGGACCGGTAACATACCTGGTGCCACATACCGCTGCCAGAGGCCGCTCGGCAGAAGCATGGCCAAGGGAAACCAGAGGCACTGGTCACACAAAGGGGCTCTCCAGCGGCATCTCCGACTGTACCCTGAGGACACCGTGCAGCGAGGACAGGCAGTCCTGAGGTAACGAGCCGCTGATGCGAGGGAAGGGGCAGCATTTAACACAAAGAGACAAGAAGAAATCCTGTCCGTGCATCTTCTCAGACCCTGCAAAAAGCTGTGGGGGCTCTGATTTGAAAGCTACACGTGGCTCAGAAGACGCCCAGAGCTGAGGACCAGCTGTGAGAGGGGCTCTTCAGACACTGGTGCCTGGGAGAGGACTTTGGGTGCTTTGCCACGGACAGACCGGGCCGCAGGCTGGCTCGCCGTCACGCGTGGGGACCCAGGTAAAGGCCCCCTCATGCAGAGCGCAGGGCCGGGCAGCAGCCGGGAACCACGGAGCGCAGCTCACAGCAAAGCCCACACAGAAAGCACAAACCCAAAGACATCAACAAACATACTTTTTCATTTTATTGCTAAAATCCCTACCATAAATCTCAACAGAGAGGAAGTTTCTGTTTCTCTAGCTTCCTACTTGGTGTCCTTGAGAAAACAAATGACACCACGCTCAAAAAAAAAAAGAAAATCCCATAGTGGTTTACTTCGCACTTCCCTGTACCTCGTTATGCTGAGTGCTTCATTTAGAGAAGGCTGACCTCCCCAGCCTTCTTCATCCCAGTGCCCTTCGCTGCGGGAACACACCAAGGAACAGGTTTAGCACGGGAGAGAGGAGCCGGGTGGATGTTCCGGCACAGGTAACCCTGCCGACTCAGCATCCCAAAGGTGCGCGGAGAGTCAGCGTGACAGTCACTGCTGTCTGAGAGGTGATTTTCACAGGAGATACAGGAGCTGTGCTACAAGCACAGAAGCTGTGAATACAGCCATTAAAAACGAACAAAGTTATGCCCCTTGTATTTCACAAGATGCAATTTCTTCCGTAGGTCTGGGCAGGGGCCCCAGATCACCTCACAGCAATTCTATCCAGTGTAAGCCTACAAACATTTTTGTCTCCATTTATCTTAGTAGGACACAAAAAACATTACAGTGGTTCAACAGGGTGCAATGAATTACCACTTTGAGATGTCCTAAGTGTGTTTGTTATCTGCCTTACCTGAACACCCAAAGGAGAACAGGGAAATCTACAGGTTTATTTTACTGTGTTTTACATAGACTCTCACTAATTCCTGTGACCAAAACGGCACTGATTTGTTTTGCTATCAACCATTAGGTGTAACAGAAGGAAGGTGGAATGGACTTTGTACTGCGTAACAGTCAGCAAAAGAGAGACATGCACCACAGGGCTTCGTAAGAGGCACCAAAAAGAAGATGTCTAGAACATTTCAAGTCATAAAAGCCCACGACAAAAAGCATTGATTAGGTAGTAAGGATGGTCTTCAAGAACTAAATGTAAAGTACAGAAGCCCAAGGTCTGAATTAGGCTTGAAAGGTTTTGTTTATTAAAGAAATACATATAAACACCAATACAACATAATACACATCAAAATAAAAAAAAAAAAAAAAAAGGGCAAAAAATAAAGCACAAAACCAAAAAAGATAGAAGCAGGATTTTTTTGTGCAATTAACTCCAGAATCTGCTCCTTTAGCAAGACCATTATCTGAGTCAGTGATAGGATTAACAAAAACCTGTAGCATCTCAAAGGCTTATTTCTGACAAGCCGTTTTGCCAAGTGCCCCATTCCTTCTAGTCTCCATGATCTAGACTTCCTCACTACGAACATACTTGAAAAAAATATTTTGGTGTCATTAACTAAAGCAAACACTTTGCAGTGAGAGAGACTGGTCATCTAGTTTTGACTAGAACAGCATTTTCCTTCTGCTGCTCATAGAAACCAGCTTGTGCTCCTGTGCTAGCTTACCCTGCCTTCACTTGCAACTGGCACACAGGCACAACCTGAACAAGAGAGCATTTTGAAGTAACACATAAAAAATTACATTTTTTACAGTTATCACCAGGCAAATGCAATGCAACAGATCAACACAGGCCAACCACGTTATCTGGTGGCCAGGCTAGAGAGCCCCAGGAATGGAATCAGGTGGCTGAGGGAAGGGAGGCTTCCCTTCAGCAACGAGCCCTCTCCAAAGTCACAGCCAGGGCAGTGCTGGAAGGAAGCTCTGGATCAGCTCAGTCTCCGCATCGGAGATTTCCGAGCCGCTCGGCGCAGGAAGTTGTTCCTGTGGCTCACCTGAGGGAGTTCCTGTTATGAAGCCAGAGGGTGGTAGGTTGAAACACAGTTTCTGAGAGTGATGTAATCTTGGACAGCACTCCCTAGGCAGTGATACTAGTGACCTGGTTACAACCTGCAGTGTTGTTACAGCCCCTCTGCTGGCTTGGTGATCACAAGAAAGGGAAGAAAAAAAAAAAAAAAAAAAAAAGGAGGGGAGTGGAATAATTTAAAAAGGAAAAAAAAAGTTTCCAGATTTCCTTTGTTTAAGTGAAGCATTTTCCTTTTCCACTTTATTTGAATACACCGACCTGGTGTCTAACAGATGGAGACTGTGCAGATGCACTTTTGGGAGTGCCCATAAAATACACTGCTAAAATACAAATGGAGGGGTACTTTTTTTTTTTGAGTTGTAAATTCAATAATCATTGCTGTCACCTCGCTTTCCCAAAGGAATTTGCCCTTTGTTCTCCGGATAAAGCTGGGGAGAAGAAGAAAAAAAAAAAAAAAAAAAAAAAAAAGAGTGAGAGCAAACAGAACATTTAGGAAAAAACCACAGATCCATAATCTGTACAAGCATTGCAGTGTACAGCATTTGTACGTCAGGAATCCATACAAGCATAGCTGCTTAGCAGCAACAGCAGCGCACAGCAAAATATTCTGCATGTCTTATATTCTTCTCCCATTCTCCAGACCTTTCTAACAAACAAACAGGTCAGCTAATTGGCTCATGCCCAAGTCTTACCCACCAGGGTTCGCTCAGAGATGTCACTTAGTCATTTGGCATGAGCAAATCCCAGGCTTCTTCCTGTTCAAGCAGCAGAGTGAGTGAAGGCTTTCTTTGATTTATTAAGACTATTAACAAACAGGAGAGTTCAGAAGCTTCCTCAAGCAGAAGAGCATGAGCAGAAAGGTTTTTTCCTGAAGCAGTAGCTAAAAATAGGACACTTAGAGGAAGTAAAGTTCATTAAGTGATAAAGTGGTGGCTGCAGTGATGAGAGAAGAGTTTCTCTTTTTTTAATCTACACATTTATTTATCATTATGGTTTTTTGCTCCTTATTAGAGTGCTAAAGCAGTGTTTATCCAGCTGAGGAAAAGAAAATTTCCCTTTCTGTAGTGACTTTAACATGTAGCTCATCAAATACAACAGAATCAAGAGTTTTAAACAGACATTGTCAGCCAACAAAGTACATTTGACAGCATTATTTGCCTTTTATATGCTCTTTCCACAGTGGGAAATGATATGCCATTTTCAAGACACATTCCACGGTATTATGCAACAGCTTTCTTAATTTTTAATGGAAATATTATTTTTAACGTGTCAACTTTTGCATAAAGCATTTTAGTATTTTACTCAGCATATACCATTAATAAATTATTTGCTCCTTCCCCCCCCCACACCCCCAGACCTGCACTTAGCATAGGGAAATGGTCTACTGACACTATAAAAGATACTTTCAACTGGCACAGTCTATAGACACTTCCATCATCAGACAAAGCACCAGGAGCACATTCCTGTTTCTACTTAGTTGACAAGCTGGCAGTGCTAAACATGCTGGCCCAGGAGTTTCATCACAAAGCACCCTTTGGTGAAAAGACTTACACACATGTAGCAACCAGATGCCATAAAAATAAGGTAGCACCCTGTACAACCAGTGATTCCTGTGAAAAGTGTTGACTTCGGGCCTGATTGCCCCAGCATCCTTTAGTCATCGTGTCCAAATGGTTTGGGAAATCCAAAGGAAGCAAGTCAGGGTGCTTCTGTGCCACAGAAACTTGTCCTCTTGACCTGAGTTTGTTCAGAGGGCACTCATCTCTCATCTCAGCAGATCTGCCCATTCTATAAGGGCAAAAAATGGATGGGATTTGATGTCTTCAACACCAGCAACACCAGCACCAAGACGCTCTGCAGGATTAAACTGCAACAGCTTGATATAAAAAGAAAAATATATATATGATTCAGTGAGTAAGAACAAAAACAACTGCTTAAAAGTTCCAGAAAGGTCTAAGGTAAGGGACATCCTACTGTTTTCTTGCTCTATGAATTACTTTCAAGAGTACGAAAGCATACTTGAAATTTCTAAAATCCAGTAAATGGAAGAAGACACTCTCCTTTCCTTGAGTCTCAGTGTTACAGTCTTCAGAGACTACTGATCACAGCATGGAATTCCCTGAAGCACTGCACATTGGGACTTCACTTTAAGTGTAACCTCATTTAAAAAAAAAAAAAAAAAAAAAAAAAAAAAAAAGAATAGCCTGAGCCTGCATCAGTAAAACTCTGGACAGTGCGTTTGCTTCATGTTAAAGCTTTGCTCACACCACTGTGTTACAGCTACACTGGGGACAGGGGTCTGTAACTTTCCATTTCATAAATTGTGAGTTGGTCCTAAAATACCAGGATATTATAGTCAGTTCTCTATTTCCTAAAAAAAATTTAAAAATAAAATTTTAAAGAGTCCTACAAAAGGACTAAAAGTGAAAAATCCAAATCCCAGTGAAAGAAACAAAACAGTGTAATGGCTTCATGGAAATTTCCTAAAATTCCACACCTCATTTGCTTTTTAGTTGTACATCACATGCTGAATTCATGGGAAAAGGAAACCACAATATTTACATCTGTTTAAAGATACCATTCCATATAAAAGGGATTGCAAAGGTAATACTCCAAAGAGACTAACACAGACACACAAAAATATTTTGCAGTTTTAAAGAACTGTTTATACTCTATCCAATTACAACCAGTACAAAGGCATGATTTCTTTCTTGCTCTTTCTGCAACAGCTAATAGGATAACTTCTCCCAGTTGTCACAGGGAACAACGTGTATTCATATCTGAATGCACTCAACATCTAAGTGAGTCTATATCCATAAACATAAGAATTTACACATTTTAAGATGCCTCTGCTATTTGCAGTCATAATGTCACATAGTAAAGGTAGCTCGGTGACAGTGAATAGTGCTGCTCTGGTAACTGCCACAAGCCAGCAGAAACAGATGCAGCCAGGGTCCCTCTGCCTTCTGCTGAAATACAACCAGCAAAGTAAGCATGGACACTTATTTTTTGGAGTTTGTCCTTTCAGAAGAACTTTAACCTTAGAAAGCAGATGCAATACAAACTGCAACAGATACCTATAGAAAAGTTATGTTGTGTATTTTGTTCATAGTAAGGCCTGGAGGCACCTGAAAAAAAATACTGCGTGCAAAATACCAAACCAACATACAAATAACAACTTAATCTTTCACCAGAAATAAACAGATCTCTGTTTTCTTAGAAGCTGGCTAAATGAAGAAGGTATTTACAACGAAGTCACCTGCACTGGAAGCAACAGCAGGAGACAACGTCTGACACAGTTTTCTGTATAGCTGAACATTGATCCCAGAGAGTTATTCTGTGATGCTTTGACCTGTTTACCCTTGGCAGTGGGGGGAAGGAAAGTCGCAATGACAAATTGCTATCCATGCCAAGAGAGCTTTCTTCCTTTTCCTGACAAGGCTTCCTCAACAATGAATGGCAGCTTCCTTGGAGAGTCACACAACAAACATGTGATTTACTAGCTCACATAGCCAAACCTCCACCAGATAAGTCACCGTCCTACACTAGAAGGCTTAACCTAACAGGCACTGGGGTGACTGTTCTCTGAACAGCTATGGCCCTGTAATATATCTGTGAATGGCAGAGATATATTTGCTACTTAAACCGCAAGTGGCAAAAGAGCCACTCTTTAGCATGTTTGAAAATAGGCAATACATTAGTCTGTGGTTCCTACATTCTAGTCTTAATGGGAGGAAGTCCCTTCATCAAGTGTGGGTTTGCTTTCCCTTAGCCATTTGACTCCTGTAGCACCTGTGGGTGAGGGTAACCATTTGCTACCATCTAACAATAAAAATGTAGACTATAGAAAAATGGGATTTTTTTCATTAGTCACTTCCCTTTCTACCTTTGCCAGAAACAGAGACACACGCTTTCACCTTCAGTGACTTCACGTCACCTAGTCAAAATAGGAGGCCCAATCATCTAGTTCCATTTCCATTAATCATTTCACAGTAATGGCACAGAAATCAATGTGTCACTGTGTCTTTTGACTCACTGAATTTTCAAAATCTCTTTCCTTCATTTTCTTCAAGGACTGTTTTTTCCACACTGCTCTGTTCAAATATACATTTAAGTGATATCTATTTATGCATCCACTAGCAAGATACTCTTCAAAGCCAAACACAGTTCACACATATCACTTATTCTACTCAAGTGGAATAGGTCAGATCCAGGCTCCACTTCCTCATTTAGGACAAAATTAACTAGAAGGAAAATAGCATTACCTGAAGTTCAAGACCCTGTACTACAAGGTTATTCTCTCAGTCATGACTAACTAAAGCCAACAGTAAACTCAAACTAGCAGTCAATACTATTCCCATTAGTTTGAAAATGGTGTATCAGTATATTTTAAGGTTTCCTACTCCACCTTTTGTCCCACTTACCAGTTATCTTCTTATTACAAAAGTCATTGTATTCACAATTTAAAGTCATTTTCTTAACAAATGGCATCCAGAAGGTTTCCTGGCAGACAGCTACAGATTTTTAACCAAGCAAGGTCGTAACTTCTCATCAGTGTGTTACAGGTTGCATGGTACTTAGAGCCATCCTGCTGAATTGGCATGAACATTTTTTAGTTTAATTCAATACATTACAAATGTTTCCATGAACATTTACGGCAGAATTCCTAAAATGTTCATGTGTCACCAGCAGGTGTTTCCAAAGCACTCAGCACTGACCAAACTTGTTCTTTGAAGAAATGGCAAAGCACTCCAGTTTTCTGCAGAGACACCTAGCAGCAGAAGTCAAAGTTTCCAAATGCAACAAGACAGCAGGGCAAAATTCACTGACGCTGCGAAAAGACCCATCCACATTCCTATCAGCAGCTTTCTTTTTTTACACTTATTTCACCAGAGAACTTAGGTAGGTAAGTATTTGTCCAGTCTACACATATACATATAGAAAATAAATTTTCCCCTCAATTACCTGCTGAATCAGTGATCTGGCTTCCTTTGATACATGGTCTGGTATACTCAAAGAAGTATGAGTGTTTATTCCTGATGGATGGCACTCAACCAGAGTCTGGAGAAGAAAAAAAAAAAAAAAAAAAAAAAAAAATCAATCAAAGCAGACAGATACATTTATTAATTAAAAGTTTGTAGTGTTGCATTATCTCCGAGTATACATGCAATTTAACACACACAAAAATTTCAGTGTTTTCCTAGTATAAAGTTATTCTGGGAGGAATGCCTACAGGCACTGATGTCCCCCTGGAGATACAGTTTTAGAACATTTATGTCTTAGCACTTGTGCTCTGTTGCTCAAACATGAATAGTCTGGGAATTTGGTGGACTTTGCTTCTTCATGCAGAACTGTTAACTAATCACCAGTTTGATTTGGCTGGGCACTCTCTGTCTCAAAATACCAAATTAATGTGTAACAGCAACATACAGCTTCTACACTGTCCCAGGAAATAATACTGAAACTATGGCAATAATTTTGTAAATGTACAGAAGGAATGTTAGCGAACTTTGATTTTACTGTGGTTAAGAGAGCAGCATGTTTTTTGTTTATTTTTTCAGTCCTGTGTTTGATAGGGCTTTATCAAGTTCTGCTGAAGCTTGAGCATGTTTCTTTTCTCTGGTCCCATGCAGACCAAACCAATTGAGGGTAATCAGGTTGGCAAAGCACATCTGAGAAAGACAAGCAAGGAAATCACAACTGAGCACACCACTTGTGAGAAACTACTGGCCAAGAGGTCAGTTTTATCAAGTAACTTGCCCCCTGCCCTACCTTCCCAGTGAGGAGTTCAAAAAGAATCGCACCCAGGCTCCACCAGTCACAGGCTTCTGTCTCTTCTAAGATAGCACCAACTTCTAAACACAAGACATTTCAATTAATATTAAAAAGGTCAGTTACACCTTCAAAATTAACATATATTTACAAGGTGACTGTTTAATGCTGACAGAACATCTACTAAATACCACAGAGCTTTCAGAGCTTTCATTATGCCTGCAATTTAGTTAGCCCTTTAGCCACCTACAGATTACATTGTTCAAACACAGCAACACTATACATTTCATGCATAATTTGCCTTTTCTGTGCATACATAGGCATTTTCAAGACTTGTAGGCATTACAGTTAGGATTCTTCTACGCTGGACTAAAACTGGACAGTGACAGACAATAAAGCAAAACATATTTAAAGAATTTACCCTGGTCAGAAGAGCTGGACTGACCAGAGTGGCCTGAAGCATCAATAAAAGCAGCACAAGGAAGGTTATAATAAGTCTACTTCAGGCCTTAATGTCACCTCAGTGGGCAAGATTCATCTCATGGCTAACCCACACCCTTTGCTGGGGCATCACCTTGGGAAGCTTTTCACAGTAGCCTCTCTTTACTGTTGGGAACCAGACAGAGATGCTAGATCTACTTCAGACAGCCTAACCACAGCCAGCAACCGTGCACTGCTACAGCACAGCCTAAACTGTACCTAGATATAAAAAGTTGTTTTCCCCAGCACCCAACACTCTCTTATTGCTGTCCATGCATAAGAGACAGCAGAGAGGTGAGACAGGAGTTGTAGAGTCCCTTGCTATACACATTCACATTTTCAATAGCATGATGCATGCAGAAAACTTGGCCTTCACCGACTCAGGCTTTAAACTACAAAAATTACTGAACACAAACACACCACGCTGTCTGCTCTAAAACAGGCAGAAAAACAGATTGCAATGAAGATGAAATCTTCATTTTGACTGTCAAAAAAAAAATGCAGAAGCTGCATTAAAATAGCTTTGGTGGCAAAAGCCACACCAGCTTCCCAGCAGAGGACAACAATTAGCATATAGTCACATAGCTGTTGCTGTGAAAAGCATTGTGGCATGTTTGAAAAATCTTGCTCATCATTTTATGGAGCTTAGCATGAGCATGGCCAAGGAGAACTACAGATGAGTCACACGCCAGGGTCAGGGAAAGGAAGGCGGTAGCCCCAGACCTCCTCAGGTGCAGACGCGCGCACAGGCTGAGCACGGGGATGTGCAGAGGGCTGCCCCCTCGGGCAGCCGCCACACAGCTGGAAGGTGCCCAGCACCTTACAGGACTGGGCCGAGGTTGCTGTTGCAAGACCAACAAGGAAGGATGGCTCAGACATTGTTTCTTTAGGTAGGACATCCCTCACGTTGAAAAGTTCATTACAGTTTAATGGCATCTGAATGCCCAATACATCACTATAAGGGTGCCACACAGGAGAATTTATTCCATTCCTTACAGATTAATACTTCTATCAGCATCGAGAAACTTCTATGAAGATATAATGGCAGCCACATGAGGAACTGTATCAGCATAATTACATGCATTTTTAAAATGTTTTAAGATCCCAGGCAAGCATCCAGATGAAGTTGAAATTACGGTGAATTGAATTTGTATAAAAATCAAAATCTGCTCATGCAATTTAATTTTTATGTCCCTTCAGAAAGGCAGACCTAGGTAACTGTCCTTTAAAAAAGAAAAACAAAAGCCCCAAACTTGGGCATTTCCATATGAACCAGTTGGTGAAAGGTTCCCCTAGCATCTCTCAGCGAAAGCTACTGCATGGAAATGCCTTTCCAGTCTGATTGTGATTTCCTAGTGCTGTATGTTCCAATAGTGTACATTTAGAAACAAGGTAACATGAATGGAAAGTAAAATCCAAACCCAAATACTTTAGGCTTCCTTAGAGCAGACTTTCCTTCCTGTGTGGCCTTAATCCTGTGCATATTCTAGACTAGGAGAGCGTTCTTCCAAACAAGTGAAGATTTTTATTTTTAAATTCAATTTCACACTTATTCCAGAATAACAACAGTAAAGCCAAGCATTAATTAAGATTGACTACTGCTTTTCTCAGTTCCTATCCTACCTTTAACTTCCTCATATTGACACATCTTACTTGTTAAAATAATGCCACAAAAGGACATAATAAATTATTCCCCAAAGACATTCAGTGGGGATGGGCCTCTTGAGTTATAGCCCAATATAAAAAAATTATTCTGAAGGTGAAAAAAAACATCATTCTGAACACAGGGAAAGAAATATTACAAAAAATTAATTTCTGAGTTTTGGTATTATTTGCTTTTATGTTGGCAATCACAGATGCTGATCCAGTTCTTTGAAGCATGGAAGTAATGTTGCCTTCTTTCACAGAATCACACTCTTCGATTACCGGAAGTTGACGTAACGTCACTTACTTCACTGATGAAGAAAATGGAAAAAGAATAAGGGTCAAGAAGTAAACTAGAGTCCACTTCTCCAAAAGCTAAGCTCATATTTTCAACTGTAAAAAGTTTCAATATATGCCAAGTCAAAACAAATGTCATTGCAGATCTCTTAAGAGAGGAGAACTGAACTTTTCCATCCACTTTTGACTGTGACCAAACTGATACAAGTGGGATAAATTGAGAACAGTCAAGTAACACAGATTTCTCCCCAGGTTGAAGGGCTCTGGCTGGGTTCTCATGCACACAGCAGAAACTGCATCTGAACCAACACAGAACAGAAAATGGAAAACTCCACTGAGGGGAACATCTGAGTATCCTTTTTTACAAAAACTAAATTTTAGCTCAACTATTCTCCTATTACCAAGTGTCTGCTTTCCTGCTGCTTTCCCTAGGTCCCAAAGTTTTCTTATTTCAGATTAAAATAAATGTTTTCCTTACAAAAAAAAAAATGTGAATACTAGAAAAAAACATGTGTTGTTTACATTCCCTTACTTCAAACAGGTCACATTACTTCTGATGAAATACACTGATCATAATAAGTTCAGGATATCACATCAATATTACTGCATTTTATCTTGACTACACATCATGGGAAAATTTAGAAACTATAGATTGTGAAGTGCTTTCAAGTGATACAGAGTAGCTAGCTAATGTAATATACCACACAGGGCATATGCTTTTTTTAAAGCTTTAATATTGCAATAAATCTGAACTACAATATCTGCCTTCACTAAGAAAACATTTTCATCTCAATCCATCAGCAAAGTAATTTAGACAATAAATGGTAGTGACCCATAAGCTTAAGTGAATAACATGGGGATATTTGTGCCAATTCTTTACTTCATGAACCTTGAAATCAAGGACCTTATCCACATTTGTACAAGCATAAATGTGCACACATATGTGCACAGTGTTGGTGCTTCTAGGACTAGCAGTACAAACTTTGCAGAAAAAAATACTCGTATCATTCTCAAACACAAAATCTTTTTAAATTGGAAAATAAAAGAGTAGGATGAAAAAAAAAATCAGTAGCTCTTCCAACTTTACTGCAACTTTCATTAAAAGAGAGAGTCGTCTTCTTTCTCCTTTCCCAATTCATGCCCATACGACATCTAACACCAAGCAGCACATCAACAGCAATGCTAAATTCCCGCACAAAAGCAATTTCAGCAGCAGTCATTGGGGTAACTGAAGGGAAGAAGATTTGTAAAACACTATCAAGGTTCAGCTACAGACAGATGGTACAGGTAAACACCTTCACTATCCAGCACTGTCCTCCAGAGCAGCTGGTCTCAACTGAAAGGCCATTTCTTTATGGTTTCCATACTTATTTCCATATTTGCATTATACACAGTAATACCTTACTTCCTGATAAGGGACCTGTAGCTGACAACACTCTGTATTTTTAAACAGAAGTGCCAGATCTAAAGTAAAAAAAGCAGAACTTTACCTCTCTTGAACACACATCCTTGATAAAGTTATTAACTTGTAAAGTTATTAACCAAGGCTCATTCTTTCTACAGTAGCTTAATCTGAAGTATACCCCTTCAAGTTGAAGGATTTCAAAGGCTTTGACTACCACACCTCAAACATTTTCTCCCAAATAGTTTCCTCCAGGGCTGACAATAAGGACTCCCCACCAGCACACACAAACACTAGTTAACAGAATCCAGGCTTAAAGATGGACTTAGACATTCGTTGTGCAACTCAGGCCAGACGCCTTGCGAATCACCAAGAACAAAAACTCAATCAAAAACTTTGTAGGATAAACTCTAACTTCCAAAAAAAAGGCATCTGAAGTCAGCTCACAAGAAAATAAGCTTTAGGTGGAAGTGCTGCTCCTCCAAACACCTAAGAGTCAGGAAGGGCTTTGCATTGAGATGGTTGTCCCAGAATTAAGAAGGGAACCATTTGACTCTTGGTGGATTGATAAAAATTTCAAAACCTGAGGAGGCCCTTTCTCTTACCACGTGTTTCAAGCAGAGGCAGCATACCTTCAAGTATCGTTCCTACACTGATAAGAAGACAAGAAGACCCATCTGAACTACCATCAGGTGTCTGAAACAGTTCAGGAAGGAATGGACTTGTCCAACATCCTGAAAACATCAGACACAATGTTTTCACCCTCTGTGGCCAATAAGATAAACAGTATTGCACAAAAACTCCATTAGAGTCGCTTCAGAAATTCTATTTACCTTATACTCATTTAATTTTTAAAGCTTACTATTTTATCATATTTTAATACCTATATATGTAAAGAAGCATTTGCAAAGAGCCAAGTAAAATGAGTCCAAGCTAATTTACTCTAGGCAGACTCAGTCAGCCAAGATATCGTAAGATACAGTCGCTAAATAACACATCACACAAGCAATCTGGCCATAATGCTTTGCCTAAAATGCTTTAGTATTTATAAAACACGGTATTGAACCATCTATACTTAAGTATAAAAAGTTTATCATGGTCTTTAAACAATAAAGTAGTGAGGCAAGTCAAATGAACATCTGCTAAGATCAAATGGAGTATGAAAATAGAAAGCTTCATCTTAAAGATATTCTAAAACATATGAGCATCTATGTTCCTCTTTGGAAGAAATTTCCTTGTGTCACTAAAGAAAAAAAAAAA